GTCTTAAGAGGTTATACTTTCATTGTATAGATCACTGGTTAGGCCACATTTGGAATATTGTGTTCAGTCTTGGGCTCCTTAGCTTAGGAAAGACATTGAATTGTTGGAAAGGGTTACTAAAATGGTGCCTGGGATGGAAGGGTTGTCATAGGAGGATAGGCTGAGATCTCTCAAATTGTTTTCTCTTGAAAAAAGATGAGTTAGGGGAGAATCTGATTGAGGTGTTTAAGATTGTAAAGGGAATTGATAATGTTGATGCATCATCTTTTTTTTTTATATCTAACAATGAGGGGACACAAATATAAAGTTTGGCAAGGTAGGAGTCATCTTCAGCTAAGACAGTTTCATTTTTCTAACAGGGTGGTTGGTCTTAAGAAAAAGCTTTACAAGTATATGAATGAAAAGAGCTGGCTTTAAGATTGTTTTTAATATTTATTGATTGACTCTTTTTAATCATTTTAATTTAATTTAGAGAATGGAACAGCTGAGATAAATAGGTCCCATGTTGTCCCAAAATGTTGCATTATGTTATGTTGAGAAATAGTTAACTGCCCAGCTCTAAAACCGAGGTTTGTTTATTCACTTCAATATTATGCTCCACCACATTATATTTAAATGTCAGAATGTGTACGTCTTTTCAACTGTACTTAATACTAGAGCCGAGCAATTAATGGAATTTTCCAACTGATTAATCTTCAAGCTCATTAATCAATTATATTCATCTAATGAATTATTCTCAACAAATGACAAAAAAAAAGCTTATACTACTATAAGTTGGATTTTTATACCTAGGCTTAGTAGAGGTCAGATAGCTCACTCATTAACTATGTGAATAACAGTAAACAAGCATAATAACAATATTTCAATTACTTGGATCGTTGGAATAACGATAAACACTAATTTTGATTAGTTGATTCTTTTTTGATATTAATCAATTTAACCATAATTTTAATTAATCAGTTATTTTACAGGACACTAATTCATGTTTAATGGTAACTGACTTTATAGTCCAGAGCTACTTAATATCAAAAGCAGTGTCCTGCAACTTTTCCTAAACACAAAAGTATGTTGTTTCTATAAACGCACATAAATTCTGTTGCCATTATTCATATGACTAATGAACATTATTCAAAACAAATTAAAAGTTGGAAAGAAGGTGAACCACTTTCACTGCATTTCATTATTTTACACTTCTGTTGTAGTACTTATAAAGAATTAATAATGCCTTTATACTTTAAAAAATCTAAACAAAAAATTTCAACCTAAATCTCTAAAAATACCTGCCTCAACCTGACATAAAATAATTTAAGTGTATGTGAATGCAAACTATACTGACTTTCTGTAACATATACATAAATATATACAAATTCCACTTGTATATTTAGGATGAGCAGTATTATAAATTGTAATCGAAATGACAGATTAAATAAAATAATGGAAATTTGCATATTTCCATGTATGCCATACAGATTAAGTGTTATTTTTATCACTTTTTGTAATAAATTTATTTCTAATTTTCTAAATGCAACTAGAAAGTCTCTCAAACCCCATTATTTATAAAAGAAACTTTTACACGTAATGACCACTCATGTAATTCTAAGTATGTAAAACAAAGACTAGGGCATAGGAAAAATAGTGAATACTCATAGAAAGGTTGAAGGAATGTACACCCTATCAAAATAAAAGACAGTATTTCTACATGTTCGCTATAAAATGGATGAGAGTAATGAAATGACTGCTGCACAATGTCTGCTTCTAACATTTTTCCTCTGTCTTCAGACTGCATGGTGATGTTTGATGACCCAGTATTTCAGAATGCGATAAATTTACTGCATCAATAAGAAGTACATAAATTTACTAACAGTTAATTTTTGTCAGCACTTTTTCATTCTCTTATTCCATATAGCTGAAGAAAATAAATGCTAAATGCTGGATCACTTACCTCAGCATCTCTACGATCATCATAGTCCACAAAGGCATATGCCATTCCAGTGCCTATGAAATAAAATTCACACATTTTACAAACTGAAAAATATCAAGATATAACTTATAGTTTGGGTTGTGATTTTTTTCATGACCCAAAACAATGTACCCTTTATAATCAATACCATTCATTTTTTATCGTTAATGTTACACCATTGAAAGCACTTGACTAAGAACTATTTATTGCAATAAATCATAATAAAGACTTTATTTTCTTTTAATATCAAATTCATACAGTCATATATTCAATCATAACATTGCTATCACACAATCACAATATTGACTTCAGACATATGACTAAGGACCATTTAATACAATATATATATATATATATATATATAGTAAAATGTCATCACGGTATAAAAGCATTAAGTGACCAACGTGCTTCATGAAATCATGAGATTCCCTCTTTTACTCTTTAATCCCCATCACTACTACAGCAGTTTTAATTATTTGTGCAGAACTTTTTCATGGTAATTTTGTTATAAAGTTGCAGGTTTTGCTACACAATTTCAAAGCCACTAAAACAGGCTGTTTATGATTTCATGTCAGAATTCTTTATTTTGTAGCATAAGTCATTTTTCGTAGCAATAGAAAATCTCTTGAATGAAATTTTGAGACTTATTGCTCTCTGTTACTTATTTTGGATAAATCTCGGGGCTTCTCCACCTTTCACTCCCTCGATATTTCTGTGAGGGAGATTAACTTCCAATACAAGTGGTTAGAGTTGGGCATTTAACTCACTATATCTGATTACCTATGATAAAACATTACATCAATTAATATGAAAATAATCAACTGGCATTTCTTTCCAATTATTCAAACTAATCATTCATAAGTAGTCTGAGGTTATGTGGGAAAATGTCTTAACAGAGTAAATGTGTTTTTGTGTTAAATCACAGAGGTTCAAAAGCTACAGAAATTTTCTTGAGTGAGAAAAAATTTGGTAAGTATTAGTTAGGTTTGGTGAGTATGAAAGACAAAAGTGCAATATATTGATGACTCAAATCCTTATTCATTAAATGTTTTTTTTGTTTATGGTATTTAAACAAATATATAAATTGATCATCTGACTACTGAATGATTTTTAATTGCAATCATGATATATTTTACAAAAAAACATCATTACCATGCTTTCATTACTTGATTTATACAGATCAATGAAGATTACCACATATTTTAAAAATAAATGGTGGCCATGTGATAATCTTCACGTTAGTGACTTGCCAAAATTTTCTAGCCACCCCGGGAAAATAATCTAACAATTGAATTTAATGAACAGAAGATTAAATGATTATCAAATTTTACTAATTTCCAAGTTCTGGAAGTGAAAGCAAACTTGATGCTGCCCCCCCCCCTTCATGTTTACCATGCCTAAAGTGATATACAGCTGCAGAAGTAAAGCAGTGGATGTTGTACAAGAGACACTATTTATTCCAAAACCTCTTTGAAAATGCATCCTGTTGAAGATATATGGTAGTCACACAACAAAATCATGTGACCATGTATATCATTCCCAGATATACATTATATGCATAGCTAAGGCAAATATATCTTTGCAAAGACATAGGGAAATAATGTTAGTATATGACATAGATTCTACACCACAATGCATATATATGGCATAATGGAAAGAAAGGGTTTATAACATGATACACAAGATCTGCTCTTTTCATGGTAATCTTGATATCCAAACCAACTTATATTTTTTGTTACTAACCTAAATAGTTTAAAACTTTAAAAGATTCTTCAACCAGATACCCTCCAGACTCTTCTTATTGCCCCAACTTTCGCACCAGAACATTCCTTTACCATACCAGAACATCCTACCACAGTATTTCAAAAACTATTAAATGATATAATTAGTAATAAGCAGTAAACCAACAATAACACCCTCTAACTCTCTTAATGATTTTAATTGCTCCACAGAATGACAAACACGCAACCAGAAATATTATTAGTTTTCATTAAGAAATGATCAAACATTGTCATCAGTTATTTTGAATTGCTGAAGTTGATGTACAAGATGTTAATTAAGTTTTAATTCAACTGGAATACAGGAAGTTCTTAAGTATGTAAAAGGTTTAAATCATGTGCTTAGGTAGGGTTTCATTTTGAGAAATTTGAAAAATTTAGGAAATTTAAAATGGAAAAAATTAACTTTTGTGTGAAGTTTAACTAAAAATAGACACGTAACACATGCAAAGCACACGTGCTAAAGTTAACTCAGTTTGTGAATAAACAACTGAACATTTATAATTTCCTTAAAACTTGTTTTTACAACCTTCTTTAAATTTTTTATTCAAACATGCACTAATATAGGAAAAGCACAGGTTCATGTGCTTTTGGCTATAAAGATAACCTACAGTCAATGAAAGTCTAATTCACAATGAAATACTGAAAAATAAGGTGAAAAATGAAAGCCTTCTAGGTACTCTTCATGATAATGTTCACAGGCCTCTAAAGCAAAGATGGGCAATTAGTGGAATTTGCTTATCAATTAATCATCAAGTTCATTAATTGATTATCTTCACAAGGCTTGGATAGTTGTAGTAATGAAAAACAGTAATAATGAGAAACACTAATTTTGATTAGTTGAATATTTTTGTGAGTCATGACACTAATTAAGCTCACTAACATTGAATTAATCAAAATAAGATGAAATCATAATGGTAGTATATCAATTACTTGGATAGTTGGAGTAATCAGAAATAGTAATTTTCATGAGTTAATTATTTTCATGACATTAATGTTAATGCAGTTGTAATTTGGTATTTCTTTTGGATTATCAAAACATCCAGATAGTTGAATGAGTCACTGAAAACAATGGACACCATTAATAACATGTGTTATCAACTGATAAACACAAACAGAAGAGCACTCATTTAACTAGTAAACAAAAAGAAATTATATGTATAAGGAACTTAGCAGTTTATTATTGAATATCTCAACAATAATAATACAAAAATTGTATAATCAAAGTTTCACTTCACAAAAACCACTGTTCAGATCAATGGCTTACTTACAGAATACAAAATATAGCAAATGCATTGTTGCTTGTATTAAATAAACATGTTTTAATGTGGTTCATATTTCTATGGATCTTTATTTTGAAGCATTGTGAGACCAAGCTTAAAAATATTTCTGTTTGCTGTAACCTAATTGACCATTTCAAATTGGGGCCTACTGAGAGATTTTCTTGACATTATGCTGTATTATAGTTAGATACACACACAACTGTTTTAACTTACGTATAGCACAAATGTTAAATTTAGTTAATTTTAGAAGTGATAGTTTATCACAGGTTTGTTTATATTACTGTGCAAATCATACATTGTGTAGTTCAACTGTCATAAATTGGTGATAGTTGTATTATTGCATAATGTTTTAGAACCTTCTAAGTTTCTCTCAAGTATTAATACATCATAATATCTCATAGTTTGTGGAATGTTATAGGCCTCACTTCCTATTTATAAATATGTGGCATGAAATTATTGCAGATCATATTATAACAACAGTACCAAAGAATAATTTGTCTTGTCAATTGTGTTCTAAAGCAATTAAACTAACCTGTGTAGAATTTTGACAAAAAAGAGAATTATTTAAAGCTCTGGATACAACTGTTGTAACCAACAGTGTAATATAAGTGAAATTATCACTGATTGTATTTATAACAACAGAGTAAAGGAGAATAATTCATCTTGTCCATTCTGTTTTACACTAACTGAACCAGCCTGTGTAGACTGACAAAAAGAGATGATTACTTAAAGCTCTGGATCTGAATACAATTGTGGTGATTAACTGTGTAACAAACAGTTATGTATACATTTGACTTGTTTCAAAATATTATTTTAAAACAAGTAGACTTTGTGCTGTTTGTTATTGTTGAAAATTATCACCAACAAGTCACAAACACCTACTGTAAAGAATCCTGCCCATCCTTATATAAAAACCTGACAAATGTGTGTTTTTAATATTTGCTTTTAAATTAAGAAATTGTGTAATATATAGTACTAAAATTTGAATTATAATCTACAGTTTGATACCAAAGTTATTGACATAAATTTATAAAATAGTTCAATAAAATTTTGAATGAGAGTCAACAAACGAGATGATATGGCCTTTCACCCATGACCCATCTTGAAAGGGTTAATGTATTTAAAGAAATCTTTACTGTTAATTTTTACATTTTCAGCCAACCTTTTTTCATAGATCCGTTTGATGTCCTAATTTCCTGTTTGACCAACTTTCTTGATCTTCTAAATCTTCCATCATACCAGTCAATTTAAATTTTTAAATATGTAATCCTTTTCTTTCATTTTATCTCATATTCTTTGTGAACCAACTTGTTTGTTTTTTTTGCAGTCACCCTTTTCTTTCTATAAGGAATATTATCATCTTGAATATTTAAAAATTTTCCACATTTGATCAATGTCTAAATACCTCAGCTGCCCAATGTTTTGTGGTCAGTAATTATCACCTTGTTTACAGTTCTGATCAAATCCTACTTGACACTTGTGAAACCATGTATATATTACTGAATTATACAGCCATAGATTATAGCTGTTCTGATTTGGAATACAAGTATACAGATTACTGATTAAACTTCCCACTGTGAAGATCTGTCCACATGAAAAGTTAGCTGGATTGTGACAGGTCAACACTCTTAGTTATGGCTACTAACACTTTTTATTGTCTGAATAAGAAAAAAAAAACATTTACCAAAAATGAAAAAAATCTTTTTTTAAAATTGTCTTAATTTTAAAGATAAACATAAGATAGTGATCTTTAAAGCTAACAGTATTGATTAAATAAAATAAGGCTTATAGTTTCCCATACGATTACTCATTAAGTCTTGAATGACATTAGAGAAACTTCACTTTCACAAGTAGAACACTCAGAGCTCAACATTTCAAAGTAGCAACCACCTTTTAACTTCCAAGCTTCCACACTATTTAAAAAAAAAAAGTGTTCTAAAGTATTTCCTCAAAAAATTAGATACAATAATATGCAGACATTTTTTCATACAGTTAAACAAATTCTGCCATTATATCCAAACAAATAATTTTTTTTATTTCCCACAACTTAATCAATTTCTTTAGCATTGGAGTTTATATTAACAAGAAGTTGATAATTTTGCAATCTGCAGAATAACATGTATTACATACCACACAAAATAAAATTGGATTCAACAAAATATGACCATGTATATATTGCAAGTAGTTAAATTCTAGCTTAGAACTATTAAATAAAATGAAATTTGTTCTCATCCAAGCTGTGAACTCTGCAATGGCCTCTTGATACACTTCTGTTCTAAAGTGTATGCTGTAACACCATGCTTTATCAATATAAAAATTTAGTTATCAGACCAATAATGTTCCTATTAATAGCATGGATGTGAACTCTGAGCAGCAAACATAAACTATATTGCTCAATAAAAGTTTAGACTATGGTATCATATTCATTAATTTTGTTTAATATCACTGTTTTTCTCTAAGACCAGATACCTTATTTCTCTCTGTGTCTGGTGCACTCTACTGTTGTTGTACACATACCATATGAAATACGTAAATCTTTGCCTTTTTCATGAAGCATGGCGGGAAAGTAAAAGGAAAATACCATCATTCTGAAGTTGCAAGTAATAAGTTTAGGGACATTTAATGCTAAAATCCAAGGTTTTATTCACACCAGTGGACAGAGCACAGATTATGTAATTTTGCACTAAACCAAACAGAGCAATGATGAAGAGACAGCACATTTTTTATTTTGGGAATTATACAGGCGACACTTATAGGAGCAGTTAGAGAGAGGAATGTAACATTTCAAAATAAATTATACCATGAAAGATTTTTGTTATCTACTCAAATCTGTTGAAAATCATTCTAAGGGGTGGATCTTGCCCCTCCCCAGAAACCCAACTAGAGCACTGCACTGGACACTATAACTCATCCTATACATTATTAACAGTGGTGTAAGTTACTGCTAAGCAAAGCATATATAATTTGACTTACCACCTACTCAACTCAGATGACTCCAAGTTCAAAGACTGGATGCCCATTATTAGTTTCACACCAGAAATGGTAATATGCAAGTGTAAATGTAACCATTTACTGAGTCTCTAGCAACATCTGCTACTACAACGCCTCCCTTAAATTTAAGGTTTAAAAGAGATAACAATACTAATAAAAGAACAGCAAATGAGGATTACAATGTAAGATTCTCACAATACGTGCAATGTTATTTATTGGTTGTCATTCAAACGTTTGTACAAATATAAAAAATCTCATTTACCGATTTAAGCCCACTGTTCCGATTGATTTATGCTGTGTTAGGCCTAACATCATGAAAAACTTATTTTACAACAAGTAATTGGTCATGTGTAGCAGTAAGTGGATAACCACAGTAAATAAAATAAACTATCAAAAGACTTGAAATGAAAAAAAGTTTGGACATATTCATAAATCATCTTCAGTTAGTTGCTTTAATTTCAAGTTTTCTGATAACTTAGAAAGTGCATATTTAGTCATTATTTCTTTATACTTGTTAATCAGAACTTAAGTTAACACCAGTATATAAGTTAATAATGCTTGGAGATGGCTTGAATGACTTCATTACCCATTCAAGCCATCTCCAAGCATTATTAGTCTCAAAGTGGGTTCCTCGTCATCGAATCAGTATATAAGTTAACATTTCAATCACACTGTTAGTGCTATATCCAGTGCTAACGTATTTGTAACTAACAACTTCTAATTTTACGTAATGTACCATAATTATGAATAAATATAAAAAATAAATAAAATGAAAATGAAGAAAAAGTTCGATAAACTATATATTTTTTACAAGAAACAATAAGAAAATACTAGTGCTTCACTTGCTTTGAATGATATCAATTATCAATCACAATCGACATTCGCCGACTCGATAAAACTAGAATTCTGGAAATTCGACAAGTGATGAATTAGCAAATTGAATTGCGAAATCCAATTGCATCGACAATACATTTGTAAAATTAATGAACAAGGATTACAATGTAAGATTCTCACAATACGCGCAACTATTTTCAAAATGTTATTTATTGGTTGACATTCAAACGTTTGTATAAATATAAAAACGCGCATTTACCGATTTAAGCCCACTGTTCCGATTGATTTATACCATGTTAGGCCTAACACCATGAAAAATTTATTTCACAACAAGTAATTGGTCATTCATAAAATTATTTTTAAACAATCAAATTATACATACCATACTTAACATCACATCGCAAAAGTCTTCCATACTTTTCAAATATATTTTCAATATCTCTTTCTCTAACATCAAGAGGCAAGCGCCCAACGAACAACTGAGACCTGCCCGACATTTTGAAGCTTCAATATGTATTGCAAATGCAGCAAAGAAGAGAACACTAGCCGCCTTCTGATTGGTCTAAAATTCCTGTCACATGAGAGAAGAAAATGTAAACAAAAGCACATCTAATACGTGCATGATATAACAACCAAAAATAAATTCAGCCTAAAAAAAAGACCCAGTTGTCTTAACCAAACCTTACTCAACGACTCAAATGTGTATGCATATTGTTAGAACTAGAATACCCATCATACGGCGTGAAAAATACACTTAAGAATATAGAAGTTGAATAGAAATTCGATGACGAGGAACCCACTTTGAGACTAATAATGGTTTGAGACGGCTTGGAT